GATCATTAAAGGGCTTTGTTTAAACTATAAAAACTTGTGGGAAGAAGCTGTTAGCATATTTGTTAGCATATGTCCTGCAACTCAGCCAACCATATCTTGTGCCAGAGGGAAGAAGCTGGAACATGGCCTCTCCTTGTCCTGCGGTGGTGTGTAGTTAGGTAAAGAGTGTGCGTGGGAACAGACCTAGCATCTTGCTGACGTAGGGCTCGATGTCCACGTCCTGCAGGTGCTGGTGTGTGTGTGCGTGGAACAGGCGCAGTGTGGAGTCCAGGCGGATGGACACCCAGATCCCGTCCCCGTCCCAGGCCATGAGGCGCACCTGGCTGTCCTTCCGGGGGTGGGCGTCGAAACACTTCTGCGGAGGACGAGAGAATTTAATTTTTTTTTATTGTTTTAAAGGCAAAAAAAAAAAAAAAAGACAGAAAATCATTTTACATTGTGTAGTTTACAGAGACATCATCCCAGCGACCGAAAGTAAATAAACTAATCCTCTCTCTCTCTCTCTCTCTCTCTCTCTCTCTCTCTGTGGTCTCTCTCTCTCTCTCTCTGTGGTCTCTCTCTCTCTCTCTCTCTCTCTCTGTAGTCTCCTCTCTCTCTGTAGTCTCCTCTCTCTCTCTAGTCTCCTCTCTCTCTCTCTCTGTAGTCTCCTCTCTCTCTCTCTCTGTAGTCTCCTCTCTCTCTCTAGTCTCTCTCTCTCTCTGTAGTCTCCTCTCTCTCTCTAGTCTCCTCTCTCTCTCTAGTCTCTCTCTCTCTCTGTAGTCTCCTCTCTCTCTCTCTCTGTGGTCTCTCTCTCTGTAGTCTCCTCTCTCTGTAGTCTCCTCTCTCTCTCTCTCTCTCTCTCTGTAGTCTCCTCTCTCTCTCTAGTCTCCTCTCTCTCTGTAGTCTCTCTCTCTCTGTAGTCTCCTCTCTCTCTGTAGTCTCCTCTCTCTCTCTAGTCTCCTATCTCTCTGTAGTCTCTCTCTCTCTCTGTAGTCTCCTCTCTCTCTGTAGTCTCCTCTCTCTCTGTAGTCTCCTCTCTCTCTCTCGTCTCCTCTCTCTCTCTCTCTCTCTGGTCTCCTCTCTCTCTCTCTGTAGTCTCCTCTCTCTCTGTAGTCTCCTCTCTCTCTCTAGTCTCCTCTCTCTCTGTAGTCTCCTCTCTCTCTCTAGTCTCCTCTCTCTCTCTCTCTGTAGTCTCCTCTCTCTCTAGTCTCCTCTCTCTCTAGTCTCCTCTCTCTCTCTAGTCTCTCTCTCTCTCTGTAGTCTCCTCTCTCTCTCTAGTCTCCTCTCTCTCTCTAGTCTCTCTCTCTCTCTGTAGTCTCCTCTCTCTCTCTCTCTGTGGTCTCTCTCTCTGTAGTCTCCTCTCTCTCTCTCTCTCTCTGTAGTCTCCTCTCTCTCTCTAGTCTCCTCTCTCTCTGTAGTCTCTCTCTCTCTGTAGTCTCTCTCTCTCTGTAGTCTCCTCTCTCTCTCTCTCTGTGGTCTCTCTCTCTGTAGTCTCCCGTCTCTCTCTCTCTCTGTAGTCTCCTCTCTCTCTCTCTCTCTGTAGTCTCCTCTCTCTCTCTCTCTCTGTAGTCTCCTCTCTCTCTCTCTGTAGTCTCCCCTCTCTCTCTGGAGTCTCCTCTCTCTCTCTCTGGAGTCTCCTCTCTCTCTCTCTCTGTAGTCTCCTCTCTCTCTCTAGTCTCCTCTCTCTCTGTAGTCTCTCTCTCTCTCTGGAGTCTCCTCTCTCTCTCTGGAGTCTCCTCTCTCTCTCTGGAGTCTCCTCTCTCTCTCTCTGGAGTCTCCTCTCTCTCTCTCTCTGTAGTCTCCTCTCTCTCTCTAGTCTCCTCTCTCTCTGTAGTCTCTCTCTCTCTCTGTAGTCTCCTCTCTCTCTCTCTCTCTCTCTCTGTAGTCTCTCTCTCTCTCTGGAGTCTCCTCTCTCTCTCTGGAGTCTCCTCTCTCTCTCTGGAGTCTCCTCTCTCTCTAGTCTCCTCTCTCTCTCTCTGGCCTCCTCTCTCTCTCTCTGTGGTCTCTCTCTCTCTAGTCTCCTCTCTCTCTCTCGTCTCCTCTCTCTCTCTCTCTCTGGTCTCCTCTCTCTCTCTCTGTAGTCTCCTCTCTCTCTCTCTCTCTCTGTAGTCTCCTCTCCCTCTCTAGTCTCCTCTCTCTCTGTAGTCTCTCTCTCTCTCTGTAGTCTCCTCTCTCTCTCTCTCTCTGTGGTCTCTCTCTCTGTAGTCCTCCTCTCTCTCTCTCTCTCTGTAGTCTCTCTCTTTCTGTAGTCTCCTCTCTCTCTGGCCTCCTCTCTCTCTCTGTGGTCTCTCTCTCTCTGTAGTCTCCTCTCTCTCTCTCGTCTCCTCTCTCTCTCTCTCTCTGGTCTCCTCTCTCTCTCTCTGTAGTCTCTCCTCTCTCTCTGTAGTCTCCTCTCTCTCTCTAGTCTCCTATCTCTCTGTAGTCTCTCTCTCTCTCTGTAGTCTCCTCTCTCTCTCTCTCTGTAGTCTCCTCTCTCTCTGTAGTCTCTCTCTTTCTGTAGTCTCCTCTCTCTCTGGCCTCCTCTCTCTCTCTGTGGTCTCTCTCTCTAGTCTCCTCTCTCTCTCTCGTCTCCTCTCTCTCTCTCTGGTCTCCTCTCTCTCTGTAGTCTCCTCTCTCTCTGTAGTCTCCTCTCTCTCTCTCTCTGTAGTCTCCTCTCTCTCTGTAGTCTCCTCTCTCTCTGTGTAGTCTCCTCTCTCTCTCGTCTCCTCTCTCTCTCTCTCTCTGTAGTCTCCTCTCTCTCTGTAGTCTCCTCTCTCTCTCTCGTCTCCTCTCTCTCTCTCTCTCTCTCTGGTCTCCTCTCTCTCTCTCTGGTCTCTCTCTCTGTGTAGTCTCCTCTCTCTCTCTCGTCTCCTCTCTCTCTCTCTCTGGTCTCCTCTCTCTCTCTCTCTCTGGCCTCCTCTCTCTCTCTCTGTGGTCTCTCTCTCTCTAGTCTCCTCTCTCTCTCTCGTCTCCTCTCTCTCTCTCTCTCTGGTCTCCTCTCTCTCTCTGTAGTCTCCTCTCCCTCTCTAGTCTCCTCTCTCTCTGTAGTCTCTCTCTCTCTCTGTAGTCTCCTCTCTCTCTCTGTAGTCTCCTCTCTCTCTCTCTCTGTGGTCTCTCTCTCTGTAGTCTCCTCTCTCTCTCTCTCTCTGTAGTCTCTCTCTTTCTGTAGTCTCCTCTCTCTCTGGCCTCCTCTCTCTCTCTGTGGTCTCTCTCTCTCTGTCGTCTCCTCTCTCTCTCTCGTCTCCTCTCTCTCTCTCTCTCTGGTCTCCTCTCTCTCTCTCTGTAGTCTCCTCTCTCTCTGTAGTCTCCTCTCTCTCTCTAGTCTCCTATCTCTCTGTAGTCTCTCTCTCTCTCTGTAGTCTCCTCTCTCTCTCTCGTCTCCTCTCTCTCTCTCTCTCTGTAGTCTCCTCTCTCTCTGTAGTCTCCTCTCTCTCTCTCGTCTCCTCTCTCTCTCTCTCTCTGGTCTCCTCTCTCTCTCTCTGTAGTCTCCTCTCTCTCTGTAGTCTCCTCTCTCTCTCTAGTCTCCTATCTCTCTGTAGTCTCTCTCTCTCTCTGTAGTCTCTCTCTCTCTCTGTAGTCTCCTCTCTCTCTCTCTCTGTAGTCTCCTCTCTCTCTGTAGTCTCTCTCTTTCTGTAGTCTCCTCTCTCTCTGGCCTCCTCTCTCTCTCTGTGGTCTCTCTCTCTAGTCTCCTCTCTCTCTGTAGTCTCTCTCTCTCTCTGTAGTCTCCTCTCTCTCTCTCTCTGTAGTCTCCTCTCTCTCTGTAGTCTCCTCTCTCTCTGTAGTCTCCTCTCTCTCTCTCGTCTCCTCTCTCTCTCTGGTCTCCTCTCTCTCTCTCTGTAGTCTCCTCTCTCTCTGTAGTCTCCTCTCTCTCTCTAGTCTCCTATCTCTCTGTAGTCTCTCTCTCTCTCTCTGTAGTCTCCTCTCTCTCTCTCTCTGTAGTCTCCTCTCTCTCTGTAGTCTCTCTCTTTCTCTCTCTCGTCTCCTCTCTCTCTCTCTCTCTGTAGTCTCCTCTCTCTCTGTAGTCTCCTCTCTCTCTCTCTCTCTGGTCTCCTCTCTCTCTCTCTGGTCTCTCTCTCTGTGTAGTCTCCTCTCTCTCTCTCGTCTCCTCTCTCTCTCTCTGGTCTCCTCTCTCTCTCTCTCGTCTCCTCTCTCTCTCTCTCTCTGGTCTCCTCTCTCTCTCTCTGTAGTCTCCTCTCTCTCTCTGTAGTCTCCTCTCTCTCTCTGTAGTCTCCTCTCTCTCTCTGTAGTCTCCTCTCTCTCTCTCTCTCTCTCTCTCTGTAGTCTCTCTCTCTCTGTAGTCTCCTCTCTCTCTCTCTTTCTCTCTCTCTGTGGTCTCCTCTCTCTCTCTCTCTCTGTAGTCTCCCCTCTCTCTCTGGTCTCTCTCTCTCTCTCTCTGTAGTCTCCTCTCTCTCTCTGTAGTCTCTCTCTCTCTCTGTAGTCTCCTCTCTCTCTCTCTGTAGTCTCTCTCTCTCTCTGTAGTCTCCTCTCTCTCTCTCTGTAGTCTCTCTCTCTCTCTGTAGTCTCCTCTCTCTCTGTAGTCTCCTCTCTCTCTCTCTCTGTAGTCTCCTCTCTCTCTCTCTCTGTAGTCTCCTCTCTCTCTGTGTGGTCTCCTCTCTATCTCTGTGTGGTCTCCTCTGTCTCTCTGGTCTCCCCTCCCCTCTCTCTGTTTGGCCTCCTCTCTCTGTGTGGTCTCCTCATCTCTCTCTCTGTAGTCTCCTCTCTCTCTCTCTCTGTAGTCTCCTCTCTCTCTCTCTCTGTAGTCTCCTCTCTCTCTCTGTGTGGTCTCCTCTCTCTCTGTTTGGCCTCCTCTCTCTGTGTGGTCTCCTCATCTCTCTCTCTCTCTGTGGCCTCCCCTCTCTCTCTCTCTCTGTGGCCTAATATCTCTCTCTCTCTCTCTCTCTCTCTCTCTCTCTCTCTCTCTCTCTTTCTCATGGTCCAGTCCTCTGTGTAAAGCCCTGTACCTGTATCGTCATGGCTTTGGGATGGACCACATAGATCTTGTTCCTGGATCCGCACCAGACCCGGTCGTGCACCACACTCATGCAGCGGATGGAGTGCTGGGGCCGGCCCAGGTGGACCAGGTGGTGGCTGCTCAGGTCCCACTGGCCGTCTGACACAGCGGAATAAGAGAAGAAATGTCAATGTTGCAGCGCACATACAGGACAGCAGAAAGAACACACAACAGATACAACACAAGGCCTGATGTGTTTCTTAGCTGTAAATGCCTCAATGTCAAAACATCTCTATCTATCCATCCATCTATGTGTCTATCTATCTATCTATGTATCTATCTGTCTATCTGTCTGTCTGTCTATCTATCTATGTACAGTGCCTTGCGAAAGTATTCGCCCCCTTGAACCTTTCAACATTTCGCCACATTTCAGGCTTCAAACATAAAGATGAATGTCATGAATCAACAACAAGTGGGACACAATCGTGAAGTGGAACGAAATTTATTGGATAATTTAAACTTTTTTAACAAATAAAAAACTGAAAAGTGGGCCGTGCAATATTATTCGGCCCCTTTACTTTCAGTGCAGCAAACTCACTCCAGAAGTTCAGTGAGGATCTTTGAATGATCCAATGTTGTCCTAAATGACTGATGATGATAAATAGAATGCTCTTGTGTGTAATCAAGTCTCCGTATAAATGCACCTGCTCTTTGATAGTCTCAGGGTTCTGTTTAAAGCGCAGAGAGAACCATGAAGACAAAGGAACACACCAGGCAGGTCCGAGATACTGTTGTGGAGAAGTTTAAAGCCAGATTTGGATACAAAAAGATTTCCCAAGCTTTAAACATCTCAAGGAGCACTGTGCAAGCAATTATATTGAAATGGAAGGAGTATCAGACCACTGCAAATCTACCAAGACCCGGCCGTCCCTCCAAACTTTCATCTCAAACAAGGAGAAGACTGATCAGAGATGCAGCCAAGAGGCCCATGATCACTCTGGATGAACTGCAGATAACTACAGCTGAAGTGGGAGAGTCTGTCCATAGGACAACAATCAGTCGTGCACTGCACAAATCTGGCCTTTATGGAAGAGTGGCAAGAAGAAAGCCATTTCTCAAAGATATCCATAAAAAGTCTCGTTTAAAGTTTGCCACAAGCCACCTGGGAGACACACCAAACATGTGGAAGAAGGTGCTCTGGTCAGATGAAACCAAAATCAAACTTTTTGGCCACAATGCAAAACGATATGTTTGGCGTAAAAGCAACACAGCTCATCACCCTGAACACACCATCCCCACCTCAGCTGTAGTTATCTGTGCGTGTTCCCAGTGCGTGTTTCCAGTGCGTGTTCCCAGTGCGTGTTCCCAGTGCGTGTTTCCAGTGCGTGTTCCCAGTGCGTGTTCCCAGTGCTCCCAGTGCGTGTTTCCAGTGCGTGTTTCCAGTGCGTGTTCCCAGTGCGTGTTCCCAGTGCTCCCAGTGCGTGTTCCCAGTGCGTGTTTCCAGTGCGTGTTTTTAGTGCGTGTTTCCAGTGCGTGTTTCCAGTGCGTGTTCCCAGTGCGTGTTCCCAGTGCGTGTTTCCAGTGCGTGTTTCCAGTGCGTGTTTCCAGTGTGTGTTTCCAGTGCGTGTTTCCAGTGCGCGTTTCCAGTGCGTGTTTCCAGTGCGCGTTTCCAGTGCGTGTTTCCAGTGCGCGTTTCCAGTGCGTGTTTCCAGTGCGTGTTCCCAGTGCGTGTTTCCAGTGCGTGTTTCCAGTGCGTGTTTCCAGTGCGCGTTTCCAGTGCGCGTTTCCAGTGCGCGTTTCCAGTGCGCGTTCCCAGTGCGTGTTTCCAGTGCGTGTTTCCAGTGCGTGTTTCCAGTGCGTGTTTCCAGTGCGTGTTTCCAGTGCGTGTTCCCAGTGCGTGTTTCCAGTGCGTGTTTCCAGTGCGTGTTTCCAGTGCGTGTTTCCAGTGCGTGTTTCCAGTGCGTGTTTCCAGTGCGTGTTTCTAGTGTGTGTTTTCCAGTGCGTGTTCCCAGTGCGTGTTTCCAGTGCGTGTTTCCAGTGCGTGTTCCCAGTGCGTGTTTCCAGTGCGTGTTCCCAGTGCGTGTTCCCAGTGCGTGTTCCCAGTGCTCCCAGTGCGTGTTCCCAGTGCGTGTTTTTAGTGCGTGTTTCCAGTGCGTGTTTCCAGTGCGTGTTTCCAGTGCGTGTTCCCAGTGCGTGTTCCCAGTGTTCCCAGTGCGTGTTTCCAGTGCGTGTTTCCAGTGCGTGTTTCCAGTGCGTGTTTCCAGTGCGTGTTTCCAGTGCGTGTTTCCAGTGCGTGTTTCCAGTGCGTGTTTCCAGTGCGGTTTCCAGTGCGTTTTCCAGTGCGTGTTTCCAGTGCTTGTTCCAGTGCGTGTTTCCAGTGCGTGTTTCCAGTGCGCGTTTCCAGTGCGTGTTTCCAGTGCTTGTTCCCAGTGCGTGTTTCCAGTGCGTGTTTCCAGTGCGTGTTTCCAGTGTGTGTTTCCAGTGCGTGTTTCAAGTGCGTGTTTCCAGTGCGTGTTTCCAGTGTGTGTTTCCAGTGTGTGTTTCCAGTGCGTGTTTCCAGTGCGTGTTTCCAGTGCGTGTTCCCAGTGCGTGTTTCCAGTGCGTGTTTCCAGTGCGTGTTTCCAGTGCGTGTTTCCAGTGCGTGTTCCCAGTGCGTGTTTCCAGTGCGTGTTTCCAGTGTGTGTTTCCAGTGCGTGTTCCCAGTGCGTGTTTCCAGTGCGTGTTCCCAGTGCGTGTTCCCAGTGCGTGTTTCCAGTGCGTGTTCCCAGTGCGTGTTCCCAGTGCTCCCAGTGCGTGTTTCCAGTGTGTGTTTCCAGTGCGTGTTTCCAGTGCGTGTTTCCAGTGCGTGTTCCCAGTGCGTGTTCCCAGTGCGTGTTCCCAGTGCTCCCAGTGCGTGTTCCCAGTGCGTGTTTCCAGTGCGTGTTTCCAGTGCGTGTTTCCAGTGCGTGTTTCCAGTGCGTGTTTCCAGTGCGTGTTTCCAGTGCGTGTTCCCAGTGCGTGTTTCCAGTGCGTGTTTCCAGTGCTTGTTTCCAGTGCGTGTTTCCAGTGCGTGTTTCCAGTGCGTGTTCCCAGTGCGTGTTTCCAGTGAGTGTTTCCAGTGCGTGTTTCAAGTGCGTGTTTCCAGTGCGTGTTTCCAGTGCGTGTTTCCAGTGTGTGTGTTTCCAGTGCGTGTTTCCAGTGCGTGTTCCCAGTGCGTGTTTCCAGTGCGTGTTCCCAGTGCGTGTTCCCAGTGCGTGTTCCCAGTGCTCCCAGTGCGTGTTTCCAGTGCGTGTTTTTAGTGCGTGTTTCCAGTGCGTGTTTCCAGTGCGTGTTTCCAGTGCGTGTTTCCAGTGCGTGTTTCAGTGCGTGTTTCCAGTGCGTGTTTCCAGTGCGTGTTTCCAGTGCGTGTTTCCAGTGCGTGTTTCCAGTGCGTGTTTCCAGTGCGTGTTTCCAGTGCGTGTTTCCAGTGCGCGTTTCCAGTGCGCGTTTCCAGTGCGTGTTCCCAGTGCGTGTTTCCAGTGCGTGTTTCCAGTGCGTGTTTCCAGTGCGCGTTTCCAGTGCGCGTTTCCAGTGCGCGTTTCCAGTGCGCGTTCCCAGTGCGTGTTTCCAGTGCGTGTTTCCAGTGCGTGTTTCCAGTGCGTGTTTCCAGTGCGTGTTCCCAGTGCGTGTTTCCAGTGCGTGTTCCCAGTGCGTGTTTCCAGTGCGTGTTCCCAGTGCGTGTTCCCAGTGCGTGTTTCCAGTGCGTGTTTCCAGTGCGTGTTCCCAGTGCGTGTTCCCAGTGCGTGTTCCCAGTGCGTGTTCCCAGTGCGTGTTCCCAGTGCGTGTTCCCAGTGCGTGTTCCCAGTGCTCCCAGTGCGTGTTTCCAGTGCGTGTTTCCAGTGCGTGTTCCAAGTATGTGTTCCCAGTGCTCCCAGTGCGTGTTCCCAGTGCGTGTTTCCAGTGCGTGTTTTTAGTGCGTGTTTCCAGTGCGTGTTCCCAGTGCGTGTTTCCAGTGCGTGTTCCCAGTGCGTGTTCCCAGTGCGTGTTCCCAGTGCTCCCAGTGCGTGTTTCCAGTGCGTGTTTTTAGTGCGTGTTTCCAGTGCGTGTTTCCAGTGCGTGTTTCCAGTGCGTGTTTCCAGTGCGTGTTTCCAGTGCGTGTTTCCAGTGCGTGTTTCCAGTGCGTGTTTCCAGTGCGTGTTTCCAGTGCGTGTTCCCAGTGCGTGTTTCCAGTGCGCGTTTCCAGTGCGCGTTTCCAGTGCGTGTTCCCAGTGCGTGTTTCCAGTGCGTGTTTCCAGTGCGTGTTTCCAGTGCGCGTTTCCAGTGCGCGTTTCCAGTGCGCGTTTCCAGTGCGCGTTCCCAGTTCGTGTTTCCAGTGCGTGTTTCCAGTGCGTGTTTCCAGTGCGTGTTCCCAGTGCGTGTTTCCAGTGCGTGTTCCAGTGCGTGTTCCCAGTGCGTGTTCCCAGTGCGTGTTTCCAGTGCGTGTTCCCAGTGCGTGTTCCCAGTGCGTGTTCCCAGTGCGTGTTCCCAGTGCGTGTTCCCAGTGCGTGTTCCCAGTGCGTGTTCCCAGTGCGTGTTCCCAGTGCTCCCAGTGCGTGTTTTCCAGTGCGTGTTTTTAGTGCGTGTTTCCAGTGCGTGTTTCCAGTGCGTGTTCCCAGTGCGTGTTTCCAGTGCGTGTTCCCAGTGCGTGTTTCCAGTGCGTGTTTCCAGTGCGTGTTTCAAGTGCGTGTTTCCAGTGCGTGTTTCCAGTGTGTGTTTCCAGTGCGTGTTTCCAGTGCGTGTTTCCAGTGCGTGTTCCCAGTGCGTGTTTCCAGTGCGTGTTCCCAGTGCGTGTTTCAAGTGCGTGTTTCAAGTGCGTGTTTCCAGTGCGTGTTCCCAGTGCGTGTTTCCAGTGCGTGTTTCCAGTGCGTGTTTCCAGTGCGTGTTCCCAGTGCGTGTTTCCAGTGCGTGTTCCCAGTGCGTGTTTCCAGTGCGTGTTCCCAGTGCGTGTTCCCAGTGCGTGTTTCCAGTGCGTGTTTCCAGTGCGTGTTTCCAGTGCGTGTTCCCAGTGCGTGTTCCCAGTGCGTGTTCCCAGTGCTCCCAGTGCGTGTTTCCAGTGCGTGTTTTTAGTGCGTGTTTCCAGTGCGTGTTTCCAGT